ATGAATCTCATGAATCTCATTACCAGCCTACAATGACAGGCAAACACTGCCTGTCATGTGCTATCAACCAGAGAGTATTCTATTGCTTGGTATCAATCAGCTGAATGAATCTCATCAATCTCATTACCAGTTTACAATGACAGGCAAACATTGCTTTCACCTCAAAATCCTAAGAAATACTAGTACAATTAATATAAATTAACCTAAATCATCATTATTTTGTCATCTTTTTCTTTAGCTTGTACAGGCTGACATAGATGTGGAGAGAGAAACATATAACAAGTCAAGGTATTTCAGCAGAAAACTAGCAAGCATTGTATAATATTTTGAATTCATTATCTCTTCCTATCATGTTTGAGATTTTCTCTGGTAAGGGATTAAATAGTCGTATACCATAATAAATATTACTTGTTTAAGCACTGCCTTCAAATTAGTGCCGCACCTAAGACAGAAATTATTAATAAGTGCCACCCCCGAATAAGCACTGCCCCTGAATAAATGCCACCCCTGAATTAAAGCCGCATATGAAACCCTTAAAGTGCCACAAGTAAATACAGTGGAAGTAAACAAGTCAAATACACACGGTGCAACATTGCGCGCAACAGTGCAGGCAATGTTGCTGAAGTAGAAAACTATCCTACTTCAGCAACGTTGCATGCAACAAATTGTGTGTCATCGCTCGCAACATCAATTGCATGCAATATTGCGTGCAATGTTGCACCTTAATGCTTTCTTGTTACCCATCATGAAATATCTCAGGAGAGATAACTACAGTAGCTAAAAACTAGTGTGAGCTGCGTCGGCCGGTGTTTCCAATGGAAAACAAATGATAAAAGGGTAAATTATACACTGTTTCGGATGCTAGTCCTTCGTCGGAGTAAAAAAGGGAATATCTCATGAAGCACTTGTATTTTCTTGCACAAAACACTCACAGACATTAGTATGTAAAGGATACCTCTCCAGTGTCTCGTAGGATGTTCCAGGGATGTGCTCAAAGCCTGTATTATATTATACAATCACCTTTTTCCTTATGCTTTTCTTGATATCTAAGTGGCTACCTGTTTGTTGCTGTCGTTGTTGTATTTAGGGAAGGATTAAATGAAATGTTGGATGCCGCACAGAAACAACTGGATTTGGAGATGCAACTGAGAAAGGTGAGCTTGACGTGTCACTATCTGTCATGGTAGCTGCGCCAATGATGTCATGTCTGATGTCATCTAACACCACATGTCTTTCACTTCATATGATTTGTTTTTTAAGAAGCCTTCGAATTTTATTGATACCCCTTTTTGTGGAAGGAAGAATACTGGAAAACCATTAGAAGAATTCTCAAATCAAGTGAGAGTCTGGGAATTTACTTTTTGAGCGCTAGTTTAGTTAGCTCCCTAAATACAAGCAAAATATCATTTTTCTTACTTGATTGAAGCTTTTTTTTTATTGCTATTAAGAGAAAAAGATAAACAAAACCAATGAAATAATTTGTTCAAAAGTTAGTACATTTGTACAGGAATCTGAGAACAATTTCTGAACCTTTTGGTGACTGTAACACAATCCAACACAATTTATACCATGTGATGGCTAGCGCTTAAGGTGAATCGTAACGTAAGTCCTTTTCTTCCTTAGGAAACAGAGCGAGAGTTAGAGATGGTTCGTATGATGAAAGAAGAAAGCGAGGTGGCCATGAGGTTACTAGAGAAGGATATTCACGATAAACAAGATACTTTGATTGTACTCAGAAGACAACTGGATGATATCAAGAAGATTAACCTTGACCTTCATGGAAAGCTACAGGTATCCCAGTACCATAAGCATGGGTTAGGGTTCACACCACATGTCTGTAAAATTCTTTGTTTGAGTTGTATCCATATTCATGGTGTAGAAAAGAAATAATACTCAAGGGAATGACACGTGGTATGAAATGGGGAAACATTACACCCAAAGTAAAAGGGTCTAAAAGAAATAATACTCAAGGGAATGACACATATAAAATGGGAAAACATTACACCCAAAGTAAAAGGGTCAATGAAAGTAATAATACTTAAGGGAATGACACGTGGTCTGAAATGGAAAAACATTACGCCCAAAGTAAAAAGGTCTAGAAAAGAAATAATAYTCAAGGGAATGACATGTGGTCTGAGATGGAAAAACATTACGCCCAAAGTAAAAGGGTCTAGAAAAGAAGTAATACTCAAGGGAATGACGTGGTCTGAAATGGGAAAACATTACCGTCAAGGTAAAAGGGCCCATAAAAGAAATAATACTCAAGGGAATGACACGTAGTCTGAAATGGGAAAACATTACACCCAAAGTTAGAGGGATTTATTAATTTTAACAAATTATCACTCGATCACTTGATGTTTCAGTCATGCGAGGCTTCTGGAAGACAGCACATGGAAAAATGGTCAGAACTGGAAGAAAAATGTGCCCGATACGCTAACAAGATCCAGGAACAAGAAAGATTGTAAATAATATTACTTACTTACTTACTTACTTACTTACTTACTTACTTACTTACTTACTTACTTACTTACTTACTTACTTACTTACTTACTTACTTACTTACTTACAGTACCCACCAGTGGGAGACTGGGCACTAATTATCGCGCAGCAACTGGGAAACCATTGGGTGACCCTTATGATAGTCTAGTCTACATATCGCATTGTTTTCAAGGTTGTTGCTTATTTCTTGGAACTGTATCCCAGTTGAAACAAAACTTGGGGTTCAGAGGGACAGTGTTTGGTTGAGCTGGTGGTTGGACCTCTATATTTAGTTTTCTTGCTGTTGTTGCTGCTGTTGCCTTTTCAAAGGCTCTGATGCTTTTGCTCAATACTACATGCTTAATACTGTAATCAATTCTACATCGTAGACTAAATGTCTAATGCTTTCCTCAGGCCCTGTGAGAAGGGTTTGTACCATGTCAAACAACTTTCACATTCCTCTTTTCATTTTCTTCCTTCTTTCTCTCCTCATTCCTTCTCTTTCAATTTTCAGTCTCATTTCATGCTTATCATATTTTCCTTTTTTCTGTAGTTCTTTAAAACCTCTTTCACAGGACCAAACATCTTCTTTATCTTCTATGTTGCTTTTAAACCTTTTCAACATTTCTATGATCACTAGATTACGAGCCAGTGTAGAAGAAAAGTTAGAAATGTCACATAAAGTTGAAGAAATTGAGAGCAAGCTTGCAGACAGTGAAAGTAGCAGGTGAGGAAGGTTCTTAAAAACGGCTTTTTATGATAGTATTAATAATTTATATAGTGCTCAACCTATTAAAATATCCTGATGACGATCTGTATGATGAAGATAATAGAAATGATGATGGTGACGATTATTATTGATGATAATTGATGACGGTGATGATAACAGTGATAATGATGATGGTGATAATGATGATGATGATAATGATGATGGTGATAATGATGATGATGATAATGATGATGATGGTGATGATGATGATGGTGATAATGATGATGATGATGATGATGACAATGATGATGGTGATAATGATG